GAGATCGAGAAGGCCAGGAAGCGCCTGGAGGCTGAGAAGGACGAACTCCAAGCCGCTTTGGAGGAAGCCGAGGCTGCTCTCGAGCAAGAGGAGAACAAGGTGTTGCGCAGCCAGCTCGAGCTCAGCCAAGTTCGACAGGAAATCGATCGCCGCATTCAGGAGAAGGAGGAAGAATTCGAGAACACCAGAAAGAACCACCAGCGTGCTCTCGACTCCATGCAAGCCTCCCTCGAAGCAGAAGCCAAGGTGAGCCCCAATACGTTACACGTATTATCTGCAGTTGATTTCGTAATTTAATTGCGAATAACCTTCATCGGTACATCGCGAAGCAATTTAACAATTAACGTATTGGCACTCGGCGACTCGGCTCCTTTTCTTCTGCAGGGCAAAGCTGAGGCGCTGCGCATGAAGAAGAAATTGGAGGCCGACATCAACGAGCTGGAAATCGCGCTGGATCATGCCAACAAGGCGAACGCTGAAGCCCAGAAGAACATCAAGCGATACCAGCAACAGCTCAAGGACGTGCAGACCGCCCTTGAGGAGGAGCAGAGAGCGCGCGACGAAGCTCGGGAACTGCTCGGTATCTCGGAACGCCGCGCCAACGCCCTGCAGAACGAACTCGAGGAGAGCCGCACTCTCCTGGAGCAGGCCGACCGCGGTCGCCGCCAGGCGGAGCAAGAGCTTGCCGATTGCCACGAGCAGCTGAACGAATTGAGCGCTCAGAACGCATCCATTTCCGGCGCCAAGAGGAAACTCGAGGCCGAACTGCAGACTCTCCACGTAAGTATCGTGTTTGATGACATGTCGCCATGTGACACGGGGAACTCTATATCGAATAGAGGGAAAAATCCCGATCGTCCCGATCGGGAAAGATTACATATAATTATATATCTTTGTGGACGTGATGCTTGCGATCCGATTAGTCCGACCTGGACGAGCTGTTGAACGAGGCAAAGAACTCCGAGGAGAAGGCGAAGAAGGCGATGGTGGACGCCGCCAGGTTGGCCGACGAGCTGCGAGCCGAGCAGGACCATGCCCAGACCCAGGAGAAGCTCCGCAAGGCCCTGGAGACCCAGATAAAGGAGCTGCAGGTACGCCTCGACGAGGCCGAGGCAAACGCCCTCAAGGGTGGCAAGAAGGCCATCCAGAAGCTGGAGCAGCGCGTACGCGAGCTGGAGAACGAACTCGACGGCGAGCAAAGGAGACACGCCGACGCGCAGAAGAATCTACGCAAGTCCGAGCGCCGTATCAAGGAACTGAGCTTCCAGGTGAGACTGCTCCGGCCGGCACTTACTTTTAAGGAGACTACCGACGACCGCTGGTCGTCTCGGCTGGTCTCGGCGTTCTGAGAACCCCCCACCCCCCTCCTCGTTGTTTCCAGGCGGACGAGGACCGTAAGAACCACGAGCGCATGCAGGACTTGGTCGACAAGCTCCAGCAGAAGATCAAGACGTACAAGAGGCAGATCGAGGAAGCGGAGGAGATCGCCGCGCTTAACCTCGCCAAGTTCCGCAAGGCTCAACAAGAGCTCGAAGAGGCCGAGGAGAGGGCGGACCTCGCCGAGCAGGCCATCACCAAGTTCCGCACCAAAGGCCGCGGCGGAAGTGCCGCGCGTGGACTCAGCCCAGTGGTAAGGAGCGACGCGTTTTAAACCGCGTCAGCGTCGTCTCGTCGTCTCGTTTCTCGTGATCTCGGGCCCTGCCCCCGAGCCTTCGCCCTCGCGTCGCGAGACGCGGCACGCGTATATTGCTTTTCTCTCAAGTACCTCTTGTCTTTTCATCGACTAGCTTTCACGAGCTGGTCACGAGTATTTCCGCGCTAACGTAGTAGCACATAGAGCACATAGAGTAGTATAGCATAGTAGTTCTCCGGAGAGGGAGATCGCGGAAAAGGAGAGTTCGAGCGGCGATTCGAGATTCGCGATTGTATCGAGGCGATTATATCCGTTGCCGATCAACGGCGATCGATGATGAAGAGAGGTTGTCTAATTAGCAATCTGTGTGTGTCCCTGTGCAGCCGCAACAGAAACGCAAGATGCCTTCCGCGATGGAGTAGACGCACACACACACACACACAACCGCGCTTGGTCCATGTAAGTCCGTGCACGTGTCGTCAGCGCGTGGGGTGTGTGTGACGTTATATTATCTAGAGAAAGAAATAGTGTTCTAGAAAAATAGAGAGTGGAAGAGGGATGCGAGGTCGCAGGCGGAATGTTTCGCTAGACGCGAAGGGGACGCAACTACCCTCTCGCGCTCGTCGGCCATCTCAGCTTGTCGATCGAGCAACCTCTGAGTGTCCGATAACACCTTCTCACTCGGTGGCTCCCGAGCTTGTTCTTCGTCATTGATTAACGTCTCTGTGTAACGATCGAACCTTTTGCCCTTTTTTTCTCTCTCTCTCTCTCTCTCTCTCTCTCTCTCTCTCTCTTGCTCTCTTGCTCTTTTGTAGCCACTCGTAGGCACTGCGATTGGACACTGTCGTAGAGATTAGAGATCCAGGACCACCGATCCCCCCTCTTCGGGATCCTTCTGCGCACGGAAGACTCTTCCCCGTCTGAATCGGCCGGGGACCGGCCGATCGTCCATGTATATTTTCTGTGTTTTATTCCCTTCTCTTTGTTTAATTTGCTTTTCTAACGCGCGAGAGAGAGAGCGCATCCCGTGACATCTCGTCGCGTCGGACAAAGTCGCCGGTTGGTCTCCCCGATTGGTGACACGAATCTCCTTGTTTATTTGATTTTCTTTTAATTCGGCAACAGATAATTCAGATAAACTGACCGTTCTTCTCCGGCGGAGCCGCCGACGCGCCTTCATTCTTGATTTATGTTCTTGTTTTAACAACACCTGGACCACACACGGCTCCTCACGAACGGGAGCCGTGACTAAATTTGCCCAAGAGATTCGGTTTACGCCTGACACTTGCGCTTCTCGGGCAGAAGGGAGAAATTGTAACTAATGTCACACATTTTACTTATATCCGAAGTAAACCCTCGCACCTCTTTAAAAAAAGAAAAAGGAAAAAAAGAGGGAAAGAACACACACATGCACACACGTCATCGACATATTTATCAGGCAGTCATATAGAGGTGTCATGACCCTCGTCTCTCGACCCCCTATCCGCCGCGCATCCGCCAGTGCAGGGGTTAAACAAATCAGTCTGATCGGCAGGAACGACACACAGAACGTGTCACTCCCCTCGGCCCCTTTTTCCTCATCATCTGCATCGCTATTTTCCAATCTCGCGGAGAGCGATGCGACGTCCTCGCGTGCGACTTGGCCGCGGCGACGAGCCGGGCCGGGACGAAGAAGAGAAAAACTCGCTTGAGTTTTGCAACTCTGTTTGTTATTTTATTCATGATTTATAGAGTTTTTTGCTCAATCACATCTTTGCCGCAGTATAAATTATATCGTGCCCACTGGCCCATCTGGAAATTATATCCCGCGCTTGTCGACGCAATTGTCGACGATAAGCATCGCCGATCTTCCAGCCTGGAGCTCAGAGCAAAATTCCGACTCGTCCCCCGCTACCCCCCCCCCCCCCCCGGCAACTCGGCCGTTTCCATTTCCACACACGGTAATCGCACGCTTGTGCGATTCGATCGAAAATTCACCGTCCACCGTCTCTTTTTCAGCCACACCGATCTGCGTTAAAACCCCTGTTAGATGGTTCCGCATTCCCGCCACGCTTCGACCTGCAGCCCGATGGTGATCTGTAAAACTCCTTCCGCGTAAGAGATCCGCGTATAAATAACTAAATAAATAAAACCAAAACGGAAAAAAAAAAACGACAAAAAAAGAAAGCAACAGATATTAACAAGGAAAACTCTAACATCCGGAGAGCAAGAAGAGGGATAACGGAGGAAGAGGAAGATCATCGTCCTCGGGAGTCCATCGTCGAACGAAGACACGAAATGTATACAACGAAACCGGGAGCTCGTTCGCTCGGAGCTCTCAGCATCTCGCAATCGAGCGACCGACCGACCATGCGATCGGCCAACATCGCAAACAACGGGATCATGTCATCATCACGCGCTTACGTTCGACGCGCGAGCCGATGGTACTTATTTTGTTTTTCTCTTTCCTGCTTCTTTTGAATCGGTTCAATCGGTCAGGAACGATCGAGAAATCCTCGCGAGTCACGAAGTGCAGCTTCGTAGAAAAGAGATAAAGGGGGACAAATTTAATAAAAACTCGCTCGAAGTAGAAGATAATGGAGAATAAGAATAGGATGGGACGGAGTTGAAGTGTGCGCGAGGGTCCGCGAGGTTTTTCTTCACCACTCGAGCTGACGGTCGAGAGGGGGGGGGAGAGAGAGAGAGAGAGAGAGAGAGAGAGAGAGAATGCGTGTAAGAGTGAGAGTGGGAGTGCAAGAGAGATCGCGAGCGAGAGGGAAACACGAGCGGGCGATGAGAAAAGCGAGAGAGTCAGCGAGAGATATATAATATTTGCATACGCGACACGCGATACACACGAGAAGAAAAAGCAGAAGACAAAAGTATATAAAAGTAGCAAACGCGCGCACGTGCACACACATACATACGTACACATAGACATGCGTATAATTGATCGCATTCGCGATGGCGAATATGACATGTAATCGACAAAAATGTAAACGACGAAAGAGAGATAAAAGAAGAGCCACGCATGAAACACACTGATATACCCGCGATAAGGGAAAATGTAATATCGCGCGAACGAAGCGAGTCAGAAAGGAAAAAAGAACGACGAATATTCAGAGCCGATCTAGCGCGTCGTATCTCACATTACACACGTGTCATCCAGATGATATCCTATCCTATAAACTTAATTGTAATTTATAAAGAGAGCCGAAGTATGTATTTATTAAAGTAAATAAGCAATAAAATAAATAATTAAGAACTAAATCCTTAAACCCCGCCCGATCGCTCGTCGCCGCATGATCGACGCGCGCAATTCGAAGACCGCGCTAAGGCTTAAGACGGGATAGAATTTATCGCGCGTTGCCAGAGAAAAGAGAGAGATGATCGTTCATCGATTAGCTGTGATGAGTTATTCTTTAATTTTATTGCTCATTTTCTGCACAATATATAAAATAACATGTTATCTATGATTCTTTTTGGGCGTGTCTCGCAGTAGTTGCTGAAATTGCCCCTTGATCAGTTCCCACTGCGTAAACTTGTCGTTCTTGACTTTGAATTCCTTGCACGTTTGTACGAACGCAGGCATGCACAACGAGAGATAGTGATGATCCACGGTGGGCAGTAAATGGTGTAGCGTGTGGGAGCCGAAGTGTGTGAGCGACAAGAAGGTCGAGTCGTCTATCACCTTTCGGTCGCGCACGGAATCCAATTCGAGCAGGCCCCAGTCCATATTATCCCTTCATCATCAATTATTATTATTATTATTATTATTATTATTATTATTATTATCATCATCCTTATTAATTTCGCAACAGAGACAGGATCAGACGAAACTCCGCGCGAGTAACCCGAGTAACGAGTGACGGCCCGCGAAAATCCCGCGAGAAAGCGCGAATACTTAGCGATTGACGAGGAACTGAGATCATATCGAAATAACGAGATCGAGGTCCTCGGGTGAGAGAGTCGAAAACAAGCGGAGCACCTGTAAATGTCGCCGTCATGGAAAATGTCCGGGTGATGGTGAGCCGCGTTGAAACCAATTAGGGCGCCCAAGAAACTGCTGACCAGTATCATCGTCAGCCACAGTTTCCACGCGATGAGAATCGTAGGCGCAAACAGGCTCATCGCGAGAGGCAGTATGAACGGTACGAAGTCGCGATATTCGAAGACGCGATACTCCATGAATACAGAGTAATATCTGAAAAGAAGAATTCAGCGAGCGTTAAGGGACTTTGGGATTTCGAATGAAAATTCATAAACCAAGCGTACACCAAATCAGATCGGTCGGAAGAGGTTCGGTTCGTCTTCCATTAATACGTTTTTACGGTTTTTGCAAGAACGGCAGACGTACTCGCGATACTTTGTACGAAAGGTTTGAAATCGCAGACAGCGATCACTCGATAGATAAACGCTTCTTTTTCATTCGACCGAATGAAATCTGACCGAGAGATCGAATCGAACTGTCCGACTCTCCCGCGCGATCTCGCGATGAACGCGCGGGTGATGAACATAGTATTACCGTTTTACGCCTTGAAATAAAAACATCAACATCCAAACGATAGGGCTGATGATGCTTCTGAATATTCCCACGATGTAACTTTTATCCTTTTGAGGCAACCAGTTCAGAAACGGCTCGGTCACGTATATCTCGTAGTCCCATAATGTGTTGGGGTATATATGATGACTCATCGCGTGCGTAATACGCCATTCCTTCGAGGACATGATGGAGAGATCGAAATAGTACATGCGGAAGTTGTCTCTCATGTGAAAATAATTGTGCCCCGCAAACGCTGTCCACGTTAGAAAAATGCCTGGAGTTTGTGCGATTTAACATTAGAGATTTTAGGCGCGTTATTATTGCTACCGCCTACGCTACTATTACTGTTACTTTCATGACCTTGATGAGAAGAGAAGATTTCCAGGAGAGACAAAGATCTCCCAAGGTAACTTTCAATTGTAGCGAGTATCGCATTGACATAACCGTATCTTGATTGTATGCCTGAAATTCTAAGAGCTCACCGGCGAAGGAAATAAGAGCGTAGGATTGAACGAGAGCGCCAGTTAAAGCCAGTGCAAAAGTCATGGCCGCCAAGGAGTCGGTAATAAGATCTGACATCAGAGACGATCGGTGGAAATCGACGTTTTTCAATGCCTCGATCGCGCGCCTCTTGAATGTGCGGTAAAACCCGTCCGGATGAAAAGTCCACGGTACTGATCGCGGAGCAGTTGCCTCGCGAACATGAAATTTCGGTAGCAGTCGCTCGGCCTTGTCAGTGATGTGATGAACCTGCGCGATGGATGTCACAATATCGATCGAACCTTAAACACTCTCAGCCGCCTCAGGCTGCGGTTCTGTGTAGTTACAATCTGATACCTCAAATAATTCAGTGATGTCAGTGCCCTTTGTCAGCTGGAGCCATTCCGCACCCCCGGGATGCGACTTGATGAACGTCTGCAAGTCGTACAGGCTGTTTCTGATTCTCCACAGTCCTTCCGCGCCGTCCACTTTCTTCCTAGCCTCGAGAAAACCGAAGGCGGTTTTCTTCTTGTCTTTTCTTACTTCCAGATAAGCCAAACCGGGCACCGTGCTATCCTCCGTCATGACGAAGATATTCTTGATCTCGCCTGCAAGAGAAAATCTCGTTTCGTGAACATTCATACGCCAGAGAGATAATCTCGAGAAGTGAAGTAATCTCCAACCGTCGTTCTTGATACGACACAATTATTATTATCTTCGATAATTCGACGATAATTTCGACGATCTTATATCGTCTTTTATCGTGTCGCAATGTGTTGTGACGCTGTTTATTCGGCAATTGTTACAGTGCGACTTAGGAGACCGAAAAGTATTTCCTTTTGTATATCTTTTTCTATAATCTACATACTGAAGAAATTCAAACACGAGCTTTGAAAGATTATTGCGTCAGTGCTATGCGCCACAAGCGCTCATCGCTTTTTTATACTCACGAGATACCGTGTCGATAACAGATTTTAATGGGTTATCCATTCTCAAAGAACTCGCGTTACCAACTGCGTTGGTTCGATCGGAAACTCGTTTAATATGTTCAATATACTCATTTTAATTACACTAGACTCTGAACCGTGTCAGTAAAGTGATGACAGGTGTAATTTGATATTCTTACAGTGGTAGAGAGAGAGAGAGAGAGAGAGGGGGGGAGGGGGAGGGCGAGGGGAGGGCGAGGGAGAGGGAGAGGGGGAGAGAGAGGGAGAGGGAGAGAGGGAGAGAGAGGGAGAAAGAGAGGAGAGAGAGGAGAGAGAGGAAAGAGAGGAGAGAGGAGAGAGAGGAGAAAGAGGAGAGAGAGAGAGAGAGAGAGAGAGAGAGACAACAACGTATTATCAATATGCAGTTCAGACTTCGCAGTAGATGACTTCGCATATGTGACGAAAAGATAATATGGACAAAATGCCCAGAACAATTTTTACTGAACAAAGTTTACGAAGACACAGACCGGATTAAGATGAACATAAAAATCTCATATCGTTTTGCAACACTCGCAATAGTTACCGAGTTATTAATTACAGAATTACAACAATTATCGGCGGCGTGCGGCGAGACGTAAGAGCGGCAAGATAAAACACGAAATATAAAAACATGTTGTTCTTCTCCTTATTGCGCGTCGGCAACAGTCTCTTGATCGACTGGACCGCGGACTGGAATGCATTATTTACGATAAGATGCAAAAATGTAATTAAAAAAGAAAATTTTAATGAAATGCGCGATGTTCAAGGATCGTAAAATTCGAAAGGAATGCAAATGAAACTCGCGTCAAATGGAAATAAAGCCGCTAAAGGCCTTTCCTTGCGTTTTCCTGTCTTTGAAAATTTATTTTTCGTACAGTATTACTTTTGCATACTTATGAGATGTATATTTTGTTCGTACCGCATTTAAATCAGTCAAGCACTATCACTATCGAACGAGAAACGATATTTAAGTGCGCAGTGTGTGGATTACAAAAGGAGTCGTACGACCAGCAAATACGATCGGAAATGTCTTATTCTTCCTTGGTTGAAGAATTTCGCTCAAGTCTCTTGACACGTGTAACCACCACAAACAATTACCGGTAAAAACACACATTCGCTACGTTGTTGGTTATGTCGCGGTCGAGAGTCGGAGCTCGTATTTATAGCAGTATTGATTACATTGAGATCATGGGAGAACCGATTTGCACTTTAACCCTGATATCAGCAAGCAATAAACTGTTTACTGTTTTGACACTTTTTGATTATGAAATCTATTTTATTTATATTTCAATCATACATTATATATTCTATTTCTTCTTCTCTTCTATTACTACCTGGTTGGTTAATCTTACCTTACTTTTTTATATATCCCGTATAATGATTCTTACTAGAATAACTAACCTGATCAAACTTTTATTATCAAATGACCAGCACCAAATGAGCAGAAGACGGAGAAAAAAATGCGGACAACCCGTAAACGTTTGTTTGTCGTAGCATTCGATACTATTCGCTACTAAGAAGCAAGTGCGCTTTTAATCGCAGCATTGGAACGATTTTAATTTTGGAGTCACACTGATCGTGACTGATCTCCAATTTAAATCGTGTCATAGGTTAATGGTTGTCTGAGTGTACTTAAATAATTTAATAATTTAACATAATTTAATGATGACGTATGATGATGACTCGTGCAAAATCTTTTTGCTCATCTTATCTCTTCGCTTTTCGTTCGAAATGAAGTTCTCATAATATTTACAAATGTCGTTAAAGAGGTACCCTATATTATAGAGATACATACTCTTTCCTTCTTCGTTTCTCTTTATCATTCACATGTGGAATTCGTGATCTCTAACAAGTGAAACGCATTAATTTCACCATTGAACAACGAGATTTATCGACGCTTCCTCGTCCGAGTTTAGCGTGGAAGCGAGGTAGCGTTGAATGAGTAGAAAAGAATGGAATGTGAAACGGAGCGAGAGACGAAATTCTTCACGATGAATAATAAATTGATTCTAAGAAGAAATAAGAAAATGATAATAATAAGAATAAATAAGAAAATGAGATCTAAAAGATCTTAATGCGAAATCTCTTTGACACGTTATCAAGTTGATGTCAGATTACATTTTAATGCAAACTCGCTACCTTATGGAAAAATGGGAGAAACAGAAGAATCACACCATTCCTTCTCTTTTTTCATAATATACATTACATTATACATGTATCTGATACATAAATATAATGGCAGTTCCAGTGTGAGTAGGTAGATGATGATAATAATAATAATAATAATAATAATAATAATAATAATAATAATAATAATGTGTACACGGCGAAATAAGGAAGTGTTTGTCTCCTCGAAATGCCGCGATAAGGAGAGAACGACACATATATATATATATATAATTAGTAAAAAGAAATTGTACTGTACACGTGTGGAGGAGCCAGCCGAATTGCTCTCGGCGAGCAACGACTTCACTATACTGAAAGAATCATTATTCGATCAACTACCTCGATCGATCACCTCATTCGACATTCTCCTCGCAAACAACAACGGAGAGACAGATTAGGGACGTTAAAGAATACCGATAATCTTCAAATGCGAATTTTTCAAACCAACATCTTGATCAAACATGTTAATAACGTTGTCGTCACGAAAACAGACTCGATTTTGACGGAGCTGGCAGAGTTGAATCTCCCAGCAATTCTGGGCGTCGTCGACACGGGCCGATCCACGTGATTCATGTGATCCATGTGATCCATGTGATCTCTGTGATCGTGCATAGTTGTCGAGTAGATCGGGGACATCGTCGAGCAAACTGTACCCATGGCGAGTTCCTCGGTAGAGCCCATGAGAATCCTAAAGTTGTAGTCATGAAGGTCTAGCTGCGAATACATGAAGATCGGCAGCCTGTCTGAGAGTACCCACAAGTTTCCGTTTCGGTCGATCTGTCGAAATTACATGAAAATAGCGTTTCAAGCTCGTCACTTGAACATCGTTTTCCTGATAAATCATGAAAATTCAATCGACGACTCACTAAATAAGTGACAATGAGGCACGAAATGCTAAAGCAATGCAGCGCAGGAAGCTCTCTATTCGCGGCAACGAATTGAGAAATTGATGAATGACCGATATTGATGAATCTTCATGAAAAATTGAGTAACGTATTGATCTTCTCGATCAGATCTCGCGCGATGCGCGTTGCGCGATACCTTGAGATCATTGGGGAAAATCATGGTAACGTTGTCCGCGTAGACGTAACCCTGCTGCTGGACGGTGAACTTTTGTTGCGGTTTCCAGCAGGCAATGGTGTTCATGTTCGTCAACGCATAGAAGAGAATTCCAGTTTTCGGGTCCAAGAAGCTGACGCTGCTCTGGCCGTTGGGCCCACGCGAGCCCAGTGTTTGGAACTCGTGGGAGGTTTCTGTATAAGACACTCGTAACAGGTTAACGCGAAATGCTAATTCTTTATTACGATAGATACGCGGAAGAGCATAAATTTACATAACAACTTCATCATGTTCTTTCGCCGAAACGCTCGAACGCAACGATAAAACAGACCTTGCGGTGAGCGATTCGAGGCGATTCGAGACACCTTGAACCTTCAATTCTCAGCGTGCATTCGACAAGATTTCGCTCGAGTGCAATAAGCGATAAGATCGACCGTGAAGCACAACTTTGGTAAGTCGCGCCCGCGGCCGAAGGATTCTCACGCGGGTCCCTCTCGCGTATCCTTTCCCCCTCAGACCTACCCGCGGTACTGGCGCGCTGTGGGTCGCGCAGGAAGCGTGTGCTCACGGAGAACTCCATGCCGCTGGAGAGCGGGTGATAGTACAGGGTACTGTAGCCGTCGCCGGTGGGCGCGAGGGCCATCCCGAACAGGCCGTCGTTCCATTGGAACGCTATTCCTGACACCTTGAAGTCCCCACCCTGCGAGCACACACACACACACACACAGATGAACCATTATGCAACAACGATGTAACGATTATCCGGCGATAATTTCCTAACGATTATTTTTATCCGTCTGTTTACCGACCTGCGGATCCGGGTGGAAGGAATGATGTTTGACGAGCCAAGACTGCTGGAGGCTCCAAGAGTACACGACCAGTCCCGGGCCGCCGAGGTCGCCCAGGTAGCCGTACGAGTCCTCGCAGGAGTAGTCCTCGACGGCGATGTTCGCGAACAAGGAATCGGCGGTGCGCTGGTCGGCCGGTATCACGTACTTGCGCAGCATGCGATCGTTGGTGAGGTCGTAGATGATCAGGGCTGGCGGGACCTGTTGCTCAGGGTTGCCGAGGATGTCGGCGAGTCCCGTGTCCAAGACCCACAAGCGATTGCAGCGGTCGGCGCGCACACGGAACGTCGAGACGATCTCCGGTACACCGGCGGCGGCGTATTGATGCGCTTCCCAGGACGGATAGGGGATCAGAGGTGGCGACTCGCGGGTATCTGCAGCCCGAAGACGGCCCGATGAAGGTAAAAGAGATGGTACGGACTAACGACAATGCGCGCGCGAGAGAGAGAGAGAGAGAGAGAGAGAGAGAGAATCATTGATCAATCACCATTGAGTCGGATGTAATTGAGACTGGCGGCGACTCCTTGCCTCCATCGCGGCACCGTCACAAAGATTCGGTCGCTGGTCACCTCCAAGCCGAGGGGCAGGTTGTCCTCCTGCTTGTAGTCCGGGAAGAGCCTCTTGGTGTCATTGCTCGGCCATTCGTAGTCGATCCGCTTCCATTGATAGGCGACTCGCAGATTGGCGAGCGCGCTGTCCAACAGCGCAATCAGGAGCGCGAGCAGGACGACCGACGATGCCCGGCAACGCATACTCGTCTCCTCGAGTAGGTCAACAGCACGACTGAGAGGTAGCGGCTTTTCCCCTGAGCCCTCTTCGGGGTGATTACAAGCCTAAGACGCGAGAGAGTGAAAAATAAAATCTCAGAAGCGAGTGTCGCGCTTCCAGCTGGCGCTTTTTCTCCTCCACCCGAGAATCGACGGCATGCGCCGCTTTTCGTCAGCTGCTAATTAGCGTACATACGTGAATAATCGCAAAGTCGCGAGGCCTTTCTAAGCGATCGGCTGATCACGTGCGCGAGAGGAACTCGTCGTCGCGCCGAGAAGCGAAGACGGAGGATCACGCTGGCAAAACGCTCTCTCTCTCTCTCTCTCTCTCTCTCTTTCTCTCGCTCTCTCGCTCTCTCGCTCTCGCGTTGCCAGCCATTTTCCTCTTGGCTATGCGAAAGAGTGTCGCTTCGTTATTCCGGCGACAGCGCCCGCGTGCGTTTCACAAACGTCTCGGCTGCTTTGTCATTTCGATGACGCAACCGTACCGTGGTTCAACAACGGTACTCGTGACTCCGAGGACAGCTATAGAAATTGGGAAATAGCTGACGCGAGGGTATGTTGCGAAAGGGTCGCCGTATGTCGAACGCGACTGTCTCGGCGAGAAACCTTTGTTATCATTGTCGGACGACGAATCGCAACTAATTCTTTTATAGGAGCATAGTCGGCAAAAAGATGTCCCGCCGTTTCAGCCGCCTTATATTATACACACAGTGGAATCACAGTTTCTCATCCTACCTTGAAATATTAAGATAACTCGAGGCGTAGCGGCATTTGATTCGTCGCGTTTATAAATAAAACAAACCTACTTTGCGTTATTCTACCTTTAATAAAATTTCTGCGCGACTGGAGTCTTTTCTTGTCTTAAAATCCTTGTCTTAAAATCCAGTGGCCCCAAAAGTTATTACGTGTATTACCGTGTATTCGCACTCCTTTGGGCGCGACAAGTTGGAGAGGTCCTTACTGGAGATTCGAGTGTTCACTCGCGTCTCCCCGACGGAGAATCCTCGACGGCCCGTCCGTCGGCCGTTTGTTGCGCAAGAAAGGAGAAAAGCGCAGCACACGTGCGAATCTAAATCCGCGCGCGTCGCTCGCGCTCGAGGAACTGAGAATTTGTTCCCGTTGTGCCCGGGCAACGTTGAGCGACGGGATCCACGAAGGCCACTATCGAACGACATAGCGCGCGTGTACCGGTTGCCCATGGACAACTGTCATCCGTAATTTTAAATAACGTTACATGACGCGCGTTGCGTAATCGTGATCGGATGCCGGACAAAACGTCGATAAACGGTGGATCCCGGAGTCTCGTGTTACTTCCCGAGTTTTATTAATTCGCGCGATAGAATCGCACGTGGCGCGATGTCGAAGCGAAACAATTGCTTTCACAGATTAATCATTCGTCACGTGTTTGTGCGCGACATTTCGCAAATGCACCTCGTCGTCTTCCCGCTGCGACGACGGCTCGCGCTCGCGCGTCGTCGAGGCCGAGATTTTCTATCTTCAACGAGCGGCTAATGGCTCGTAACACGGTTAACACCGCGCGCGCGTTGACTTTTCCAGTGCTTCTTTATTACGCACTTTATTACCAGCCGGTCTTCCCTTTTTCTCACTCCCCTTTAAGACTTTAGGTCTGTTTGTTCGCGAACAACCTCTGAAGTAATGAGACGAGCATACTTCCTCTCTCTCTCTCTCTCTCTCTCTCTCTCTCTCTCTCTCACCCCGACCTATCGCGCGCTAGTTGAGAGGAGTCTTTCGTAAACGAACACAGATCTCTTGTTTCACACCCGAGACGGAATTCGGCAGGAAGCCAGAGGTTCCAGAGAGGCGTACATTGCGGGCTGCTTTCCAGCGCGACTGAAAGTTGAATCTCCGACTGGCGAGCGATTAAAAATAGGAGACGTTGAAAATCGATTTTTCAACGCTTCGCTTTGAAGAGCCCAGGCCGCGCTGAATGATACAGCAGCGACAGCGCGGTCTCTGCATACGGTATCCCATAGCGGTTACCACACTCGCGTTAATGTATGCAACACGTTTTTAATTTACATGGGAATAATTGCCGCATATTTTCCGTTGAAGGTTTACTCAGCTGTCCCGTCCGCGCGCGCGAGACCGGATATTTCCCAATGCCGAACGCGCCATTTGCGCGTCTCCTCCTGCTGTCGGCGATCTACTACATGTGTGCGCTGCACACATGTAGTACCGTCCGTTCCCGCGAAGCAAAGCTAACCGGCGCGATAGTTAGCAATCACGCTCTCCTTTTAACGTTGTTTTCAGCGCGCACGCGATTTCTTCGATCGTTTAACAGACGCCGCGGCCGCGGCCGCGGCCGCGAAAAATTGCGCACAGCGCGCGCGCGTCTCGCCTGTGATTTCCCTGAAATTGGACGTGATTTCCTAGATAGAAAGTATGACTATAACACAAACTAGGTAGGTTTCTCCTTATTGGGCGGGATATTCGTCACGAGGTCAGGTACGAGCGAGTTTTTCGTCCTGTCGTGTAGGAGAGAAGTCGGTGGCTCTATAATGCTCGCGCACTTTCGCTCGAATTTCGATAACGCGTAACGCATGAGTTGCGCGAGCGGGCCTGCATTCCGCGCGTGTTTCGAGAAGTATGCCGCTAATGCCGCTAAACGTGAACGCACCGTCGAGATTAAACTCGTGGCGTTTCCCTCGGCGGAAACGGGGCCCGGCTCAAAAGCCGATGATTGCGCGATGAGCGGAAGGCCGCGACGCGAGAACGGCGAGAACGGCGAGAACGGGAGAACCTGTCCTGTCGGGCGAGTCGGCTAATTCTAATCGGATTAACGTGAGATGATACAAAGGGGGACGACGAAAAGGAGACAGTGTCGAAATTTGCGACGTGGAAGGTAGGCGGTGAGCAATTTCCGGCTAAACAGCGCGGTGACTAAGCGACTGGCTAAACAACGCGAAGAATCTATGAATCAAACAAGAGGAAACAAGAAGAACCGATATGGTTTTTTCCTCCGGACTTTTTGCTAGGATATACATTCATCGTAAGACAAGCGACTTGTGCAAGCGCGCGGCGTTACGTCATTGTAAACGAAGGCCGTGTCTTTTAATTAGTCACTCTTGAAGTATCCTTGAAACAACCGTTCGACGAGCGATTACGCTCTTAGACGCGCTTCAGGACATCTTGTTCGAAGAGACGTCCCGTTCCTGGGCTACTTTCTCTGATCGTCTCGCAGCCGCAATCTCTCTCTCTCTCTCTCTCTCTCTCTCTCACACACGTGCTTTTGCAATCTTCGGCAGGCACACACTTTAGAATTGGCCAGTGCCCCTCGCTCGGGCGGCTCTTTGGTCTCGTTTCATTCCTTATCCCGCGCGAAAGAAAAGAAAGAGGAGCGAAGAAGCACACGACTGAACGAATTTCTCCGTCCCCTTTGCGGGTGGCTAGATTGTTACACACTCGATCTGCGCGATCCTGATCACCAGCAGCACACGGGGGCAGCTCGGACCTCTTCTCTTAAGAGAGCTCTTGGAGAGCGGCGCGGCAGCGGCAGCGGCAGCGGCAGCGGTCGGACCACGCGCACCGGTTAAACGCGACAAACTGGGATTTCGCGCCGGTGTGGCGGCGTCGTGCCGCTCGAGGAGGATCGAGGAGGTAGCCGTGCTTGCTTTTCCTGGGGTACCGTACGGTACTATTGGAGATCCGGTCGGCAAACCTGGTCGAGCATCGCGATTCATCGTGACAATCGCGCACGGTCAGGAAGCGCGATGAGAGGAGGGAATGGTCGGGCTGGAGGGAGGAGAGGAGAGGAGAGCGAGAGCGGCCTGATCTATTAATCGAGTTAACGAACGAGGCCAGCAACAACAACACAAGCTTCTCCGGCAGAGTAGCCTCCTGTGATCGGCTGCGACCTGTTTAGGACGATATCCCCTCGCAAACTCTCCATCGATCTAGATCCGACGAAGGAGAACAGCGCCGCGAGAATGACCGCGAGATCTGTCGAGGGACAATGGAATCGATGGATCGTCGTGATAACGATGATGATTTATTTCCTGCGTATGTACAAGGTATAAAAAAGGACGATACTTTCTGCTGCGTAGAAATTGAAAAAACGAATCGGGAGAGGCGACACGATAGAGCGCCGGGCATCGATCGATGAGTAAGCTCGAGTAAAATAATAGGCGAATCAACAAGCAAAGCAAGCTGTGTCATCGATCATCATACTGTGTAACTGTGAATAATTTAATCGGTTAAATCAATTAATCAATTAATCGACATCCACTCGATGTCAATCTCCATTATTCCGTACGGCCCAGCGAAATTTCTCACCGTCAATCAACGCTCGACGCTTGATACAATATCGTTATGTGCGATCATGCGACTCGCTCGGTGTTACTTTTCATTATTTTGCCCGAGCAACATCTCTCTTCATCGCAATCACTATTCAACGACGAAGGGAATAAAGAGTCGCGCGCTTGTCGGTTGTCGTCGGAGGGGCGATTTTACCATTCCGATCATATCC